ATATATATATACATACACACACACACACACATATATATATGTGTATATATATATACATATATATATATACACACACACACATATATATGTATATATATAGCTAAATATATAATTAAAATGAATTAATATAAAATTATACCTATAATTAATGTATTACATAGTATAAATATAACTTTCTAATGTTTAGTTTGAAACTAGCAAGTAATGATGGGTGGAAAAAAGAATTGTCATTTTCACATAATATTTTTCAGGATAAATGCTACTGTTACTATTGCAGATTGCTGTCATCTTATTTAATAGGGAAAAAATTTCATTATTTTACTCTCATAAAATGTGAGACCAGGAGATTTTCACTGAAGTCAGTAGGAACTGGCGGAAAAGAGAGACAGCTCTTTGACAGATATTGTATCCCCTTGAGGTCATGGTAGGGATTCCATCTGTTTTTCACTTAAGTTGATTAGCTACAATAGGAAGAGAAAAGTTTCTCTCTGGAAAATTAGAAACTAATCTTTCTGTAGAAATTCACATATTAGTCTCAATGACACACAATTACGTTTTGTTTTTTTTTCCAATTGTAGGGAAGAAGATAGGTTTGGCATTAAAAGAGTATAAGTATTTCAATGGTTAATGATGCCACTGTCAGGATGAAGGAGCGTATAAGAACTGTTCACCTGAAGAAAAATGTTTCAGTGATGAAACATATTTTTGCATATATTTTAAGTCATTTATAACAACTCAAAAATTGTGTATATCTATCTATCTATCTATCTGTCTATCTATCTATCTATCTATCTATCTATCTATCTATCTATCTATCTGAATATAAATTGGATTATTTGGATTATGTTATATTGGGTTATTATTTCATTTAAAGATCTAGTAGCCATGATTAAAATCTAGCAATGACATGGTTCCTTTACTGAGTTCCAGGGGTAACACTTTTGAACATCAGATGTTTTCTTTGCACTTAACAAAGGATAACAGTTTAAAAACTCTGATCACAAAAACATAGTTAGAATTTCTGAAGTGTTTGGGGCACTTGGGTGGCTCAGCCAGTTAAGTGTCCAGCTCTTGGTTTGGGCTCAGATCATAAACTCAAAATTTGTGAGCCCAGGCCCGCTTGGAATTCTCTCTCTCTCCTTCTCTTTCTGTTCCTCTGCTGCTCTCTCTCTCTTAAAATAAATAAATAAACTTAAAAAGAAAAAAAGAATATCTTAAGTGTTTCAAACAAGGTATTTGGGTAGTGAGTGGAGAGTACTGAGGACACACGTATAATTTCAGTATATCTTCATTCATATTTTAGCGACTGCGTTGTGTATAAAAGGAACCATATGCCATTGTAGTTTTCCTTTTTATTAAAAAATGGTAAAGAAAGCCCTCTTGGTACATCTATGAAGACATAGCTTTTCATAAATAAAAGTTCCTACCTCCTTTTGAAATTAAGCTTCTACATTACACAGGATATTTTCAGCGTTTAAAATGATTCTCTACTTATTGTTGTGGTATTTGCCTCAGTTCCATATGGATATTATCTATTTCCTTGCTGTCAAAGGGCAGGCCTTTTTACAAGTCTCAAAGCATTTATTAATATTATTGCTGGTCATTATAAAACATGTGATTAAATACGACCCAAATCACTCCCATAATGTGATATTCCACAGAAATGTCAAAATGTGGGTGAGAATTTTATGTCAATGTTTAGATGTGCAAAATTCTAAATCATGTGAATCTAAGCCTTAAATATTCACAATTAGAAGCGGGAAAGATCACCTTTAATAAACCCTTGTTAGAGTTGCAGGCCTAAAATTGGAACGTGACAATTCTGTTGAAGTTTCTTTGGTCACTTTTTACTTTGTATTAATTAATTGCATGTTTCACATCTCTATTCTTCATCTTTTGAATGAGTGAAATGAACTGTTTATTGAAAGATGCTCTTCTTAAAGTTG